TCTTCCTTATTCATTGTTCATCTTTCACATGCAAATGCGGTTATGGAAAATACCCCGGCTTGGGTCAGGTTTATGAAAGCATATTCACCACACAGAGTACTAAACACTATACTGTTACCTTGGGCATCTTATTAGTTCATTACTTAATATATAAGTATCATCAGTCATTTTAGATAAATGTGACTAGAGATAGTGACATGCATATTTTTATTTATTAAAAGATTTTATTGGGGGTTCTTACAACTCTTAGAATCCATACATCCATTTTATTAAGCATATTTGTACATATGTTGCCATCATTCTTCTCTGCACATTTATTTTCTATTGAATCCTTGGTATCAGCTCCTCTTTTTTCCCCTCCCTCCCCCGGTATGCATATTTTTATAAAACTTTTTCGATTAATTTCTCAGCCCCACAACTCATCTGTCAGCATTTCACTATAACTTGCTTGATTTGGAAACATCAGTGCTATGCTTCTCTCTCACATGTCAGTGTGTGAACCTAAGCAGTGTAGGTCAGCATAAGCAGATCTTGAACTCGTATTTATTCCATTTGAAGGGCCAGGGGGCTTTATTTTAAAGTGGGGTTTCCCAAAGTAAGTCATACTGGCCCCTGCGGGTTGCTTGGAAGATCCAGGGGGTGCTGCTAAAGCAGAAAAGTACACTTTATCATGCATTATGTGCCATGATACTAAGGGTTTCAATTGCCAGGGTGGTGCTAAATTTTTTTTCTGGAAAACAGACAGTGGTAGGCCAATATGTTTGGGGGAACCTATGCTTTACATTATGAAGTAATTTAGGAATATTTCTACCAGTCACTAGAATGGACAAATATGGTAAAATATATCCTTTGGATTTTCAAAATTAATACCAATAGGTCTAGTTGATCTTTTTATGCCCTGCCTCTCTTCACACCTTCCTTCTGCAGGCACAGTGGCTGTCAGACCTTTGGTTTGTGCCCTTTACATTGACGGTTCCCAAAGAGCTCATGAAGTTAAGGGGTCTACATTTGGATGGAAAAAAAGTGTTTCACAAACCTTTGACTGAAAGTTAGCTTGCTAATGACATTGATTACATTCTTCAAGTTGATTGAGCAACCACCCGTATGCTGCGAGTTGTTCCTCTTCCATTCACATAAGCTCATTGACTTCTTTGGTTCCTATCGTTGTCATTCTGATCCCATATTGATTTTAAAAAGAGCATATTGCTCAAAGCAGACCATTTGTTTCCTTGTAAGACGGCTTCAGGTAATATTTTTGGTTTAAGGTTTAAAGATGATCTTGGGGCAGTAGTTTTTAGGTTTATCCATCCTCCACTGACAGTTGGCCAGCCCTTCAATTATGAATGCAAGCAACAAAGCACAGTCAAAAAGCTAGTCTGTGTTTGCCCCAATTGGCTTTACAATGTTCCGTCTGATAGCAAGGCTATGCACGTCCCTGGACTTAGCTTCGGTAAAATTCAAAGGATAGTAATTTGAATTTTTGAATTTATTTTAAATATTATTTTCCCCCCAAGCTTTATTGGTGCATAATGTACATATCATGCAATTTCAAATGTTATTTAATTTGAGAGACTAGGCTTTCTAGTTCTTTAGAAAGTTAGTCTCAGAGGTGTCGACTGAGCCCACACGGAAGAAGTACACCCACCAGCCTGTGTGATCCAAGGACTGTAAGGGATCCAAATCTAAGGGCAGACATAGCATCAGAGTTTAAATTGTATTCACTTGGTTTGCAGAAGCCTGCAGTTGGCAACGGAAGGCCCACATCCATTTGTAGCATTTACACATGGATTAAGCTTTCCATGAATCGCCTCCAAGCATTGTTGAGGGA